TCAATTGGTTGTCGTTTTGAAATGCTTTGATTATTATAAAGAAGTTCAGTCAATTTAATTGTCAATTCAGTATAATTCACTACATGTAATTCTTCATATTGTTTCTGTACTATTTTATTATTACATAGATCTTCATCGTAACAATCATAGATAAATGATCCATAAGGATTTCCAATATCTAATGGTATGTTTATAGTTGTAACTAATACACTATCAGCATTGCCAGTAATGAGAGCATTTGATGGTGCAGTTATATAGTTAATAACAGCTGGATATGTATCAATCAATTCAACATATAATTCACTTTTGCATACGGCAGCTGATTCAATTATTAGGTCGCAATAAGATTCATTAATAGAAAGAGAAGTGCTGGTTGTATTAATACAAATATCAATACATGATGGACACTTAACGGCAGAAATTGGATGTAGATATATAATGATAATGAGAAAAATAGATATTAGCACCATCTTACACATAATAGTTTTGTGTACGAAGAATCTGATTCATTTCTACAGCTGCAAAGTACATAAATAGTAATGATTCGTATCTTGGTATGTCAGCTGATATAGTTTCTCATAATCTTTATAGAATAATGACGGCATTATATGAAATTTTTTTTGTAGAAGAAATGTTTTTTTTTCTTTTCAAAACTAAATAATTGTTTTTTCTTGGCCGATGTTTCGTAACAAAGAAAAGATTAGCAGAGCTTTATAATTATTAATCATCTTTGATTTTCCACCCTGTGTTTTATTTTATATATTAGTAAAAAAGAAAGGATCCAATGTGTAATTGAAGTATCTTGAAAGGTGATATTTATTGAACGAAAAAGAACATAGATGCTGAGTTTGATTGAATCAAAATCTTTGTATGAATATTTTAGCTATCGGATTTCATCCCTTTTTTTATTCTTCTGTAGTATCTAAAGTGAAGGAAAAAATTTTTTCTTTTTTCACAACTGATCAACGAATGAAGTAGATAAACATTCTCCTCTTCATTTATTTATCATCGAAAAGCATTGTATTAATTTAGATAAAATGAAATATTCGTTACCAATTCTCGAAATCGAATGTATCAAAAAGAATAAATAAACAAATAAATAAATAAAACTTTAACATAATCTTTTTGACAAAATTTAATGTTTATGTATGTCAACTGAAATTTCTAATTGTTGGCATCCGGTTGGTTTCGCTGTTATACATGTCGAACAATCAAAAACACCAGGAGTTGATGAACATGAAGATGAACATTGATAGCATGTTGTTTGAGCTGCTGATGAATAACTACCTGCTGGACATTGCTGTGGACATTGTGTTGAATCATCACAAAAGTATCCAGGTGCACACGGGGTACAAATAGCTGAAGTATTATGAACCGAGTAGTATCCTTGAGAGCATGTTGCACAAGAAGTTGCTCCGTAGTTTGCACTAGTACCTTTAGAACAAGCTTGAGGTGATGAACTCGGATCTGCACATGCAAATCCTCGAGGACATATAATACAATCAGCAGCTTTCGGCGTTAAAGAGTAGTAACCAGAAGAACATTGACTGCATTGAGTTTGTTTGTAGTCACTATAATTTCCATTGGAACAAGCTAATGGTGCTGTATCAGGTTGTGGACAATAGTAACCTCTTGGACATATTTCGCATTGAATGGATCCTATCTCCAGCGTATAAAATCCTGAATCGCATTGTGTACATGCAACGGTATTAATACTTGATGAATAGGTACCAATACGACAAGGCTCTGGCGAACTATCAGCAGTAGGACATTCAAAACTCACAGGACAAGTTTCACAGCGAACGGATGTCGTATTTTTAGTCCACATACCAGATGAACATCGTTGACAAGAATTCATTGATCCATCTCGATAAAATCCACGGGCACAAGCTCGTGGTTCTTGATCATTTTGTGTACACTCATAGCCCTGAGGGCATGGGTTACAAGACACTTGCCCATAACTAGTTGCATAGGTATTCGATGGGCATGAATTACATGTTGATCCTGGATATGGAGAATATGTACCTGGTCGACACATAGAGGGTGGTTGATCAGTTCGTGGACATTCATTTCCCTATTTTAAATCAAAAGAGATCGTAATCCATCTATTTTCTTCAATTTCAAATCAATGTTTATTGCACTTACTTCAGGACAAATATCACATAATACGGCGCCACTCTTAGTGGTGTACCATCCCGTTGAACATTGAGAACATGAATAAGCACCATAATTATATGAATATGTACCTTAATAGACATTTAGATCATTCTACTAGAACTCTCTTTACTTCAGTGAATCATTTACAATTCAGAAATAGAAAATAAATTATTGCCTATAGAATGAGATATTTTCCAGTGATATCAGATGATCGATTCATATTATGTCAAAGTTAAATACTACTCAAAAATCAATATCAATACTAAGAATTGCTCATAAATTGCGTATCATCTAACAGCTAGATATCTCATCATATAATTTGGGGTTTGCTTTATATATCTATTAGAATAATTCAAATTTCTTTATACGAATTTGTGAACTTTCATCAAATGGGATTATAGTCTAACTAACCTGGTCGACAGGCTAATGGAGATTGATCCGGACGAGGACATTCATGACCCTATGCAAACATGAACAAAACGTCTTTACAATGTTCTATTTAAAAAAAAAGAAACTTTTCATTTTACCTTTGGGCAGATTTGGCATTGATGTGAATTTGATGTTGTTGAGAAATAACCTAATAATATCCATTATTAAGAAAAGCCAAATACAAAAATAATGAATCAAATAAATTTTCTTTTCATACCTTGTGAACAATCTCTACAGTTTACCGCACCATAACTATCTTGATAAGTTCCTGCTGGACAACTGATAGGATCTCTATCACTATTTGGACACATAGATCCTATTGGACATACATTACACATAATTGAACCTGATTTCGTCGTAAAGTATCCATTTCGACAACTTGAACAGGATGATGATGTGAATGAATCTTGATATTCACCTGGATTACATGGTAATCGTCGATATCCATCGGGGCAATATGTACCTGGTTCACAAGGATAACAATTGCCACTATCCAAATAATAACCACGACTACAGGAAGTTGCACTCTGACTTATTTGAATTGATAAACAACTGACTGATACAAGAAATAAATAAAATATCGAACAAGCCATTAGTTATAAAAATCTTCTAGTACAAAATTATCTTCTGTAGCTACACTCATATATCTTTTATAAGGGAGCTAATGTGTGTGTTTGTTGAACTTATCAGTTATTACACTATCTTTTTTAAAAATGTTGTAAGACTATGACGCATTTTTATCACCGTGATAATACTTAATTACGTAGCATATTTTTCATAATAATAAAAAATAAATAAGCAGATAAGAAAAAAAGAGAGTCATATAAGATGATTTGCATCTTACATATATTAACTCCTCCCCCTCCCACCACAGAGTGGAAGCTCATTGAGCTTCTAATTTGTTTTACAAGTCAAAAGTTTGAAGGTGTGCTTTCTATTGCGACCAACTTGTTTTGTATTATAGTTATGCTTTGTTTATCTTGCAAGTCTTGAAGTCTTCAACGTACAATATTTTAGCTAAGAAATGGTCGGGCTTTGGAGAAGCTAGAAAGAAACTCTTATTAGACACGTATCGATCCAATTTTGCTGAACGAGTTCATGTTAAAAGCTTGTACACAAGTCAGAAGTGAAAAGAGACATATTTTAACAGAAATATAAAATAAGCATCTGATTACGAAATAAGTCTCTTATTTCTAAGAGATGGATAGTTCAAATTTTATGAGTATTATAAAAATCGATATTGTATTATCTCACACTAGTTTTTATTATTGAATCCAACAAACATTCACGTAATTTGAACCGATTAGTGTTCATCTGTCAGTGGTAAGTATGTATGGGTACTGTTCAGGACATGAAAGAAATTGATTTGTCCGTTACTAGAAAACATACAACACAAAAGAAATTAAGCACTAGTGAGAAATAATGAGCTAATTGTTTTGTTTTGCGTACAGGTTGGGCACAATGGGTTTCTATTATGTCCGAAAATTATAACTTTTAAATTATCCTTCTAGTCTGTGGAGAGGTGGAAAGAGGTATTATGTTTTTTCAGAATAGCATAAGAAATTTACTGATTCAAGATGAAATTGATTCGAATACAACAAATTATCAAACTTTGAAAGAATAGACAAATGTCTTTGATCAAATGATGAAATCTTTCTAAACAATGTGTTTATAATTTTTATTTATGATATTTGATCATTCAAACAATTCTCTCTGGCAAAATTTTTTTTTAAAACAATACCACTAATTTTTCATTAACTATTTGATTTGAATATAATTAAAAAAATGATTTAATCATATGAAAAACAATCGAAAATAGCAATGGAATATTATTTATCTAATATGAACTTAAGAAAGCGCCTAGAATTTTTTTCTTTCGTTTACTGTTTATGTTTCATGAAACACACCCTTTCAATTCTCATCATTATCATTCCAGTTCTATTTCATTCTCAACTTGTTTGTTTACAGACTGTTCCGTTTCGGTACCTTACTGACAAAAAAAAATATATATATAACTTTACATAATCGATTCATACATTCAATAGATTTCGTATCGTTACTTGGAATGTTGGAAATAGTGAACCTGATTGTAATACATTCCAACAGCTTGCATTTGCATCAGTCTCTGATGGTATTAAAGCTGATCTTATTGTGTTTGGGTATGGACATAATTAGCTTTTGAAAATATAGTAAAACAAAAAAAAAAAGAAAGTCATTGTCTATAGTTTTCAAGAAGCAAGTAAAAAAATAATCGGATCGAACACATTCCATAAAACATTGAAAAATTGTCTTGAAAATGAAAATTATATAGAAATTATTTCTGATTATGTCGGATCGGATATTGTAAAACCAATATGGCTATATATATATGCTTCAAATATGATAGTAAAATCTCAACGTGTGAAACTTTTAAAATGCATGAATACACTAACTTTAAAAGTATATCAGGTATGTTTTTTTTCCTAATCTTTTGATATAAAGAAATGACAAAAGACGTCAGCATATTTAGGATAAAATTTTAGAAAATATCATTGGTAAATAGATTTCTTTTTTGCTAGTTTATTGTTTATACATTTATATATATGTAGTGTTGCTTATATAAAAAATTTATAGGTTATAAAGGTGTTATAGCTAGTTGTATTCAAATAGATAAATTAACAAATGTAATCTTTGCTAATATGCATCTACCAGCAGGAGAAGGAAAAAAAGAAGAACGATGTAAATTATGGTCAAAATTTCTTCAAATATATCAAGCAAATAATATCAAAAATGATTATATGTTTGTTTTTGGCGATCAAAATTGGCGTACATTAAATACTTTGAGTGTTGATAATATTCTCAAAGCAATCAAGAAACAAGAGTACAAAACAATACTTGATAATGATGAAGTTAAATACAATTATCTTGCCTATAAATGAATAAAATTCATTTTTTTTCTTATAGTTAATACAAATGCGTCAAAATGATAATACAGGATCTACTGCACAATGTTTGAGTAATTTTTTCGAAGCTCCTATTACATTTCCACCAACATATAAATATATACTGAATAGTGATGAATATCAAACAGAAAAGGATAAAGAGTAAAAAACAAAAACAAAAGAGAATTTATATTGAATCGCTCATAAATATGACCATATATAGAGTTCGTCGTCCAAGCTATACTGATCGTATTCTTATTTCAACACTTTCGAATAATCTTGAAATTCTTCAATATTCAGCAATGAGTAATATTAAACTCAGCGATCATCGACCAGTGTTTGCAGATATAATGTTACATCAACGATCAAAAAATAACAAAACATCTAATGAAACTGTAATTATCATTTATTGTTTTTGTGGGACTCACATATATTTTCGAAGAAAACAGCGAGTGTAAATTTTAAGTCAAAGCTTTGTGATTTCTTTCTCTTCACTACAGATCTTAGCCACCGAGGATAACAGGCATCAGACTCTTTTTCCTGAGAATTCTAGAATATTTCAAAGCCTTCCTCGAAATTGGAATGGCTGAAATCCGTTCGCAAACGCTCTAAATAGTGCAGTTTTGTTTTTTATTTTTGTCCAAATAAAAATTTATATTTAAGATGTCAAAGATCTTTAGGAAATAATCAATATCAGTTTTCTGAGCGTATCGAAAATATAGAATAATGTATTGAGATCTGTTGTAGGTGTAATGAATATATAATAGGCTTATTTGCTAGTTAAATCAGTAGCTAGCATAATAATAATGTCAAATTAAGAAAAATGGAATATGACAATGAAAATGAAAAGTAACAAGATTAACAAAAACTAGAGGGTTAGTAAAAAATCGAAGAAAAAATTTCTGTTCAAAATGCAGAAATAAATAAGATGGATCGTTTCTTTGGCGATTAATTATCTTTCGAAAACAACAATAGGCTGCGAGACATTTTTGGTTTTCAATATTTTGTATTAGTAGATTGACATTAAAGTATACATGAGAGTTCCACATTTCAGCTTCAAAGAGGTTACACTAACATGTCTTTTTTTTTTTGAGTTTTTTTTTTCTCTTCTATATTTTATATTTTTAGAACACAAACAGAACTCCTTCAGTAGACAATGATACCAGACGAATATCGAAGAGAATTTTGTTGACATTGATTATAGTTATAATTATCTGCATACTCAGTGTTCTTGCTATTTATCATTTTATAATTAAACGTCGCATAAGAAAAGTCAATATTCAACAAGTATCATCAATAGATCTTTCTGGTACACAATCGAATCCAGAAAATACAGTTACAAACAATTAAAACTATAATCAATATGTTTGTTTTGAACTTATCCTCAATTGAGAAAAATATCGATTTCTTTATATCAACATAACGAATCAATTAATTTAAATACTTTTACTGTTATTAATCGCTGTATGATTTATATTGTAATTAGTGTTTAAATTTTTGTACTTAATTTTTTTGTCATTCTCTTGATGAATTCCTGTCAAGACAGCTAAGTCTACTAAATCACTTATATTGACCATGACATATATTTATATAAATATATAAGCTCATTATCAATAAAAAAAAAAACGAAATTTTTTCATGCTTATTAATGACGATCAAGATCAAATAATGCGTTTAAAAATCTATGAATTATTCATCAATCTAATAAATCCTTGAGCTTATATCTGTATGTGACATTCATTTACGTTTTCGTCTATCTACCAGGGCTTAACGAATATATGCATAGAATCATGAAAAGTATCTCGTGTTTTTTTTTACATTGTACATCCATATAACAAGAATATAAAGACATAAAAAATCTACATTAAACAAATTATTATTAATCTAAGAAAAAAAGATGAATAAAATATTTCTCTTTCGATTAATTATCATTATTGAAATAATTATTATCCAATTAATAAATACTATGATTAATGGTATTCATATTCAAATATATAATAATATTGCTGAAATATCTCAATCAATATCACCCTATGATTTACCTATAATATTTTCTCAACAAGAATGGTATAATATTCGATCAGATTCAATTCGACTTGTTAATAAATGTGTTAATGTACGTGCACAAATAATTTCATTTAATCGTACATCATTAAATGGTCAAAAACTTATGATTAAGCGTAATGTTGATAATGATACGTATACAGAAGGAATAATGATTGATGAAACACGAAATTTAATACATGATTTAATTGATAATACATTTTATACACTAACTAATGATCGTATACGATATTTATCTATTCCACCTGTCGGTAAATATTTAGTTGATTTTGTATTAGAAACATGTACTAATGAACAACTTTATATACGTTATTTACAAAATAATATTAAATGGAAAGTACGTTATGATCTTCTATTAGAAAGTAATAATACTGATTCTATTTTACAAGCATATGCTGTTATTCAAAATGATGGAAGTTCATCATTAATGATTAATTCTGCAGAATTAATTAGTGGAGATGTTAATATTCAATCATCATCATCAAACAATGGTGATAGTGGTGAAGAAACGGCTTCTCTTGCCAATGTTGACAATGGATTTGTTCAATCAGAAGTGGTAATAGTACAAAATAATGGTAACGGTGATAGTTCTCCAACTATTTCTGATGCCGAAGAATTAATTGGGGTATACATATTTTCAATAAATGAAACATTTACTCTTGATCCTCGATCAAATTATATTCTTCCAATGTTTCGTCCAATAATTGATATTGAACGATATGGTTCAATAGAGAAATATTTTTCTTCGATGGATAATCGTGGTAATGCTCAACGTGCATATCGTCTTCGCGTAGAAGAAAAATTTTTGCCACGAGGTCAAGTATTTATACGTGAATCAGATCGATTAGTTGGTGAAACTTATTGGCCTGATCTTGCTTCTAATGAAACAAATGAATTTAATCTTGGTCAAGATCCAGATTTACGATATATTGAATATGTAAAATTAAATTCACGTCGAAAAGTTAATCAACCAAATGGCAATCGTTTTGTTTTATCAACATATACAATTAATTTAAGTTTAATTAATAATAAACAACGTTCTATAAATATTGAATATCGATTAAGATTTACTTCACAAACTTATTTAAGATTAAAAGAAAATACAACAAATAATTTACTTCAACTTGATGGTTCATCTATTATTGGAACATTTCAATTAAATTCAAATGATGAACAACAATTTACATTTATATTTGAAACTGAATAAACACTGATTTTTTTCTTGTATATTTGTTAACTCTCTCTCTCTATATATATGTACAATTAAAATATAATGCTTTACTTTTGTTCAATAAACTAATCAAGTACATAATTGACTTAATGTCTTCTTTTTCTCGTTATCCCAATTCATCAATGAACGTTTGTCTTAATATTCTTTGTATCAATATATATTTCCGTTCTATACTTTTGAAAGAATATTGACAACAAAAAGGCCATAAGGATTAAAATGATACTGTCTAGACAATAGTTTTAAGAAAAAAATCAAGTTATTACATGAACGGTTCAATGTTTTTTTTTCTTTAGCTAATGATTCGAATCGATATAGAGTTTTTTTAAGATTCGATTTCAACGCTCTCCGACTCCATCGACATTACTTAAAATTTCATTTATGGCAAAAGAGACCGTTCAAAAAGTTAATTCATTTCCACAACTATATTGATGAATTTGATTTGAACTTAAGAGTTAACAGTTGAGTTTGTCTTAAAGTAGGAACGATATTTTCTATCTGAACTCAAATCTCTTCACTTAACTGAAACATGAGAGTTTCTTTACCTTGGAATAGATTTTCGTCCATTCTTTATTTTTCTCTTTGTCCATACCATAGACATAGATTGAAAAAACTTGCAATAATTAGTGAGTGCGTGGTACTACTTCGGTAGCCAATTGTTTATTTACAACCAAAATTGTTCTATTATTGATAGGTTTAGATTGAATAAATTGCTCGCATTTATCAACATCGTCAAATGTTTTGAGATGAGTGATTCATGTTCGAAGTTTTTGTTGAATATCGATATTTTCTTCTGAGTTGTTGACATCAGAATCCAGTCAGACGAGTGAGAACGTTTCATGATTGTGGTGTTCTGCTGCTGCCATTGGAGCTAGTTGTCTTCTATTGGTAATTGCACAGTGTTAGTTGAAAGTGGAGTATGTAAACAGTTCTCATTCACAACTAGACAAAAAGCAATGGCAATGCTTCTCGCATTACTCTCATGATATTTTTTACTAGCATATATTCCGCTTTCATTCACTCGATATCTGAAGAAAGAAGAAGATTCCTATGTTAACAACTATTTCTGTCACAGCAAGGCATGGACACACTTGAGCTTGTTGAAAAAAGAAAAAAGTGAAACGATAAAAGAATAGAGCGAAGTTGGTTTACCATCGAAGAAAAAAGAAAAAGAAACATTACTGAAAGCTTTTCTTTTCACAATAGATCAAATCAAACTTTAATTTGATGAATGCACACATTTGCAATCAATGTCGTCCGTGTTACTCTAATTTTTGGGCATAAAAAAACAAATGATTTTCGTTTCAATATATTTTCGCAATTCTTTTTTGCTCATTTTTCTACAGTGTACATTCAGAATTGAAATAAAATTCAAATCACTGGATGTAAGACACGCGAAAACCGGAAAATTCGATACAATGAACGTCAAATTTATGTTGCCGTTTCGATTGACAATGAAAGTTCATCGAAAAAATTCGCAAGAATTGCTTCTCATCAGTAGAAAAATCAAACACTTTTTTTTTTGGAAAAACTTGCGGTCTTCTATCAGCCAAATTTCAAATTACGATCTTCGAGCACAACTAAACTATTCGACTTAGTCACGATCTGATGAAGATCATTTCCTATTGGATATGTTTAGATAAGCTCAGATAGAGCATACGATGCAAAAGTAATGGCATAAACATTGAATCATCTTTTCGTGTGATTCTCTGATAAAATAAATTCGAATTTTTGTTATTGAGACAGGTAAAATCTCAGCTTCGAGATGTTTGTCTGACGAATTTTTGTCAGGCTAATAGTCTCGAAAGAAGAATTTGAAAATGGAACGAATCCAAAAATAAAGTTGTGTAATTGAAATATTTCCTTCTTTTGAGAATAAAAGTTGAAGAAAATTGATTAAACCAGCTCATAAAATCGAAAAAAACGAAGGCAGCTTAACATTGTCCAATAATCGACAGCTGCTTGTTTAAGCATTGATTTTTTACATTCAGAAGTTTGCTAAACTACTCGAAAAGATAAAATAAAAAGCCTAACGTCAGATTCGTGTTCAACATAAAAAAACTGAGTCGATCTATGTATGTTTCAAAAGCATTCAACGTCTTTTATTTTCCTCGAAAAATTCAGCTAGAATCTTCCTCAGGAATGGGTCAGAAAATAAATTCATACAAAAACCAGTTTTATCTGTATAGACATATTCATTTAATCGTTATAATAAAATATTAAAAGTCGAGAACTTGTTTCTTATAGATAAAACTGGTTTTTATATGAATTTATTTTTTGACCCATTTCTGAGGAAGATCCTAGCTGGATTTTTCGAGGAAAATAAAAGACGTTGGATGCTTTTGAAACATACATAGATCGACTCAGTTTTTTATGCTGAACACGAATCTGATGTTGGACTTTTTATTTTAAATAGAACTAGAAGACAAAACTCGAAATACTACTGATGTTTAGTCAAAATCGGCACTCCAATAACAGTCTGCACCAACATGAGATGTCTTCCCTCCAACCTTTTTTTAATTGTAATGAGTGGATTTTGTAGCTAATGTAAAGGGTTCTTTATGATTAAAAACGGTGATGTTTGCTCTAGCTGTTGAAGAGACTGGAGCTCTTCACTGAACGTGTCTAATACTCTAAAGATATTTTTTTTTGAGGTCATATTTCGGCTATAAAGTCGGAAAGACTCTAGCAAAAAACATGATATTTATAGTAGTGTTAGAAAACCATATGATCTACTAGATGAAAAAAAAAAATTTTTTTTGTTATCTTCATATGAAAATAAGTACTTGTATCAGATTGGTCATGCAAGCAGTTCAAGGCTAAAAATATCGAATATTGACGTCATCCAAACTTTTTATTTGTTTATGAAAAAATAGTTGGTTCCGTCACCGAAAATACTTATCTCAATGTGATCTTTCGTTTGATATAAGATAATAGGAATCTTGCTGAAAAAAGTCCTATGGGCCGATTTAAGACCATATCATCTCCCCTCATTTCAGGCAAATACACGCGTTTTCTAAAGTTTCGTATTTGATTGGAGAGACATCTCATTACGTTG